GGCTCGTGTTCGGCTCGCTAAGCAAAAGAGTCGAACACGAACACACTTTTTGAGCTCGAAATATAAATGAACCGAACACGTGCTGAGTTCGAGCTCGCTCGTGTTCGGCTCGTTACACCCCTAATCTCTGGTGACAGAATAGTATATGAGGTTACATGATGGAGCCAACAGAACTAGAAATAAATTCAATGGATGTAGCCTCTATACAATGATTGAATTGTAGTACATCGTACAAAGGCAATTTAAATATATTCAACTGTGGTACTATACAACATTAAAAAACTATAGTAAAACAAGTTGGATTCAAACCCTTTTTTAATCAAGAAAAGACAAAACACAATGCATTGAGTGTAAAAGAATAGTTCCACCCAAAATTTAAAATTGCACAATGGTGTACCGAGAAGGTTTTTGTCTATGTGACAAGGTATAAGCCTCGGGACGTTTTGAGGCATAAGCCTCAAAATCGACAAATTGTGTAAAGCAAAAAAGTGTTATACTAAGTCTAAAAATATACAGTAAGAAATAACATTTTAATATCATAACTTATTAATTGGTTAAAATGTAACATATTTAACATCATAATATGATAAACATAATAAATTGTTCAAAGTAGTAACATGTTGACATCGAAACATCAAATTATAGAATAAAAAAAGTTACGCAAAAAATTAAAGTAAAACCTGATATAATAATTCAAAATAAATTCGATACAAATAGTCTCTATTGCACGTCTACTGTCATTTATCAAATTAAGAATATAACATATCACTAAGGTTAAAATTTCAAAAGCAATTTAAATATATTCAAGTGTAATGTTATATAGAATTAACAAACTATAGGAAAACAAGTTGGATTCAAACCTTTTTTATCAAGAAAAGACAAAACACAATGCATTGAGTGTAAACGAATAGTTCGACCCAAAGATTAAAATTGCGCAATGGTGTATTGAGATGGTTTTTTTCTATGTGACGAGGTGTAAACCTCAGGACGTTTTGAGACATAAGCCTCAAAATCAACAAATTTTGTAAAGCAAAAAGTATTATACTAAGTCTAAAAATATACAGTAAGAAATAACATAACCTATTAATTGGTTAAAATGTAACATATTTAACATCATAATTTGAAAACATAAAAAATTGTTCAAAGTAGTAACATATTGACATCGAAACATCAAATTATAGAATAAAAAACGTTAAACAAAAATTAAAGTAAAACCAAGTATAATAATTCAAAATAAATTCGACACAAATAGTCTCTATTGCACGCCTACTGTCATCTATCAAATTATAAATATAACACATCACCAAGGTTAAAATATCAAAATTTAAAATTTTCCATCACTTTTATCACTTAATGAGTTTTCATTAGCATAGCCAATTTACTTTTTTTCATCTCATCCACAATTTCATTAATGTTCTCTTATTCCTCATTTAAATTTCAATCATATTCCTCATATTATTTAATAAAAATAATACTGATATTTTAAAACAATAGCTATGTTGATAGTAATAACATCAATTGCATTTTCAAGTATGTATTATATGTAAGTGAGGAATATATATTAAGGTTATTTTACTTATATTTATTTACAGAAAAGTTTAGATTAAATTGTGTACACCTCACTAAAACTAATACAAGACGCGGGCTGAGACAGGCCTCGGATCATATGTGGTGTAAGCCTCACAATACCCAATGAGGCAAAAGCCTCATTGTGATTATTCAAAAAGTGTTAAGACATTCCACATGTTAAACAATTTTAAACCTTAGTTCCCCCAACCCACAAAAGAAGGGCATTTAGGCAGTTATAGGAAATACTCCAAACTCAATTGAATTTCATAACAACAAGAAGGATTTATCCCACTAAGTGGGGTCCGCTATATGAATCTTTTTTTCTCAATTGCTTCCTATTGAGTGTCATATTTTCATTTAGTTCTAATAGATTAAGATCATTTTTTATACAATATGCTCAAGTCTTTTTAGGTCTGCCTCTTTCTTTCTTTATATAAGTCAAATCTAAAACATTTATTCTCCTAATCGGATCATCGACGTTTGATGTGACCAAACCATCGAAGACGACTCTCTCTAATCTTATCCACCACTAAAGCCACCAATCCTATCACGGATATATTCATTTCCCATTTTGTCTCAAAGTGTCAAGCCACTCATCCACCTAAGCATTCTCATCTCAGCAGCACTTAAACTTTATTTTATGCTTCTCTTTTAAAGCAAATATTCTGCGTCATAGATCATTGCATGTCTCACCACCATCTTATAAATTTTTTTTTCTTTCAGTCTAAGAGGTACTTTTCTATCACAGAATAGGTCTGATGCATTCCTCCACTTCAATCAACCTACTTGAATTCTACTAATAACATTGCCATCTATATCATCGTCGCTTTGAACAATAGACCCAAGATATCTAAAATGTTCACACCTTTTAACGATTTGATCACTCATAATTACAACTCTGTCATTAGCTGCTGCTACTAAAATTACATTACATGTATTCAGTTTTAGATTTACAAAAATCGAATTTAGATCCTCCTTTTTTTTTTGAACTTCTCCAACAAACCTCTCAATAAATGTATAGCTTCCATAGTAGACATGTCCGGCATAAATCCAAACTGATTATGAGAAATATTTGTATCACGTCTTAAACTATGTTCAATAACACTCTCCCATAATTTTAACATATGTCACATCAACTTAATTCCTCTATAATTTGCACACTCTCGTGCGTCCCCTTTATTATTAAAAATGGAATCCAAATACTCTTCATCCATTCCTTAGTCATCTTTTTAGTTTTTAAAATAATGTTAAAGAGTTTAATAAGCCAGGAAACTCTCAAATCTTCTAAATATTTTGACACTTCAATTGGGATATCATCAGATCCTACTAATTTTCCACACTTGATTTTTTTTAAAGCCTCTTCAGCTTCTTTTTTTACTAATGTGATGGTAAAATTAAAATATTTTATTATTATTATTAACAATATTAAGGTAACTAAGGTCGATCGTATTTTCAGAAACTTCATTGAAAAGTTTATCAAAATAGTTCATTCATTTATGTTGAATATCTTCTTCTAAGAAAATCACTTTTTGATTTTAATCTTTAATAAACTTGAATTAAATCTTTACTTTATTTCCTCTTTGTTTGGCTGGTTTATACATATATATTTCATCATCTTTAGTATCTAATCAATTATAAAGTTCACTAATAAAAACAAAATTTTTAGCAACACAATTTGTTCCCTTAAACTCCCTACGGGTCACCTTATGTTTTTTCCAGGTCTTAAGCTTTTACATTTAAACCAATTTTTATAAGACAACATCTTCTATTTTATATTTTTTTGCACATTATCATTCCACCACCAGCTATTTTTATTTATAAAAAACTTTTTCTTTCGATTCTCAATTGAATTTCAAGCAAAAGTATAATTAAATCAAATTAAGTTAATAGTATTTTTTTCCCAATTGCTTATAACAAAAATTGATTCGAGATATCATAGACTTTAAGAATCATAATCCAAAAAGATGATGCGATGAATAAAAATATTCAAGTTAAGATGGAACTTTTAGTTCAAAAGGCCACAATTAATAACTATCCACTAACTTTTAATGCTATGAGAAAAATAGAAAGAATTCACACCAAATTACCACTTCATGAATCATTAAAATCAAATAAATTTAACAAAAATTGAAACCATCAAAATTCACAAGTCGATTAAAATTCATACTGTAAGAAAAAAAATTAATTTAACAAGCTTGAATAAAATCTAGCATGCTTGCAAAATCCATAAGAAAATTATTTAGAAAAAAGGAGAACAGTATGAGAACAAAAATATAACTTTCCATAGAAATGGCAGTACTCTTGCACCACGCTTGAAGAAATTATCATCCAACAAAGCACTCAACA